AATATCGAATTCTGGCATACTTTATCGGAATGCGCACCATAACAAATGCCAACATTCCGGGGTGCGGAATAAGTCAAATTTCCTGGGACCACTATTCCAATACCCCTTGACTAGAGGGAACGATTATAGTGTTATCGTCTGTGCCTGTTGCTTCACTTTCCTGACATTCAGATGAATCTAGATAAATGCTTCGTCGGACAAACTTCTGCACACATTTTCTGATTTGTGCTTGCCCTGATCCATGAATGACTTGCCTGGGCGACCGATGCATCAAACGTCTCTGTTAAAACGCAAACAGTTACAGGCAACTGTGCCGGAAAAAAATGCAAGGAAGTCTGGAATGGTTGTTTCTTGCTTATTTACGTATGTCATTCGTTCACTCTTAAACCCCATTTCGAAAAAAGTGATAATCTTATTTCAGTCCAGTTGGTCATTAATTTTGTTAGTCTACGAGTTGAGTCTAGGACACACATTAAAGTAAATGACAGCGGCCTCCGCTCTGACCTGATTATTTCATAGAATACGGTCGTTCCTTTTGACTTAGGATGTAAGTCTGAGGCTCTCGTAAATAGCAATATATCAACAAGCCACCCGTAGTCCTGAAATTTAGTCGAGAAGGACGAAGAGCACTGAAATTACCGGTTTGTCCTAAGAACACCTTTCGATCAGCTGTTTGACGGACCGAAGTTGGAAATCGGGATGTCTGAGACTGAGTTTTGCTGGTAACTACTACTTCAGAGTGATTTTCAATGCATACCGGACACCCAATTTTAAAACAGGTTAATCTATGTGCTGAAAAACGAACATTAATTGGCTTCCTGAAATGCTGCAAAATTTGCCTTTTATAAGCCTTCATATTGTAAACACGCATGGCGCAAATACTGCTTCATGAAGCCTGTCTCATCTTTCAGCGGTCGTCTGTGATATTTTTGGTTCTTACTGCCAAGTAAACACTGCACAAAAATATGCTGACAGGATCATAAATGCCTAAAAATACCTTTTGGCCAAGGTTTATTCGTCCAAGCCGCTTCCTGCTTAGCCAAACCCTACTGATGACAATGACCGGGGTACCCACTGAACACCCGCAAAGACGAGCTGACGCGGTGATTGATGCAAGCGGAGGGCAGACAATGCACGAATTCACTTGTCAACGGCCTGATGGTTTGTGTTCCTTTTCTGGTTATATTTTCATCTGGATGCCTTACGCGTGCTAAGATAAAGATACGCAGGTTAAGGTAAGAAGAATGCCACGATATTTTACCAGCATAACTACGAAAGCCATAAGATCGAATGCACTTGACTGAAGACTGCAGTGCTTTTGCAAGTGTTGCCGTGGTGATGTCTGCTGGGCAAGCAAAGATTACATTACTTTTGATCAGACATCCAGTAAATATTCAGTTCCGATCCAAACGTCTCTTGTCCATCAAGCGTAATTAACGAAAATACAAGCGAAAATTTACTTGATGATTTCCTACCCAGCACTCGACTTGTCCTGGTCTACTCATAAAGTCAGTAATGCACTACTGCTCCAAGAATAAGAAAAACACTTCCATCTTCTGCACAATTTTGGTTATCGTTCATCTTTCTCGAATTTATCAGTAAAAAATTGACCCGGTAAACCCCTAAATTACATTGTCGGTAGGTAAAAGTAACGGTTTAAGTAAACCAAGCTGGTAAAAAGTTCTAAAACTAAACTGCACATTTGAAAGTCTAGTCCAGAACCTGTGAGCCAAAGGAGTCGCTTACGCTTTACGAGCGAGGTAACGCATATCTGTCTGCCTTGCACTGAAGTATCTGCCACGCAGCCAAAGCGGACAAAACCTGAACTTGCTATAAGGTACTGGACGTTGACTGAAAATTGCGACACAGCTAGAAGGCAAGAGATTATGGACTGATAACGGAAAAATTTCGACAACGGCTATTGAATCAACCTGTGTTGCGGTCGATCGTTATCAGTGAATCGCCAAACTTCTAGTTTCGGAGCGTAGACGACCCAAGGTAACTCAAATTTTTTGCGGAAGCTTCTGCTTCAAAGCGACTTAAGCCCGAAACAGACTCGCTGATCTGCAGCCAGTTGACGGAATGCAGCTCAGGAACATGCATGCACGCACGCGCAGGGTTGTCCATGCACAACCTGCAAACACTACCACTCGGGTGATGCGATACAAGGCGGTTCAATAATCGAAAGTGACAGTTTCCACCTTAGTCCTACGAAGCGGCAGCACTGGTGACGTACGTGTGCATTAGTGTATGGTGGAGCAGACATTAACTGCATCTGTCTGGCCCTTTCCTAACTTACTCCCCGAATCTCAGTGGCAGGACAATGTCAAGACAATAGAAGGTGGGCGTGATGACTGACAAAACTAATCAGCCCGCCCGCACACATCACACACGGCCAGGGCCTCCATCTATAGGCACCCAAATTCAATAAAGGTGTCCAAGATGAGACATACGTAAGGATCTCATAAAGGCCACGTTAAAAAGGAGTCATCGTAG